GCAGGCTGTTCGGAGCTAGCAGAAGAAGATCGAGGCCTACCCAGCAGCCGAGCAAAAGATCGGGTCCAGGGAGCTGGAGGGACTTACTGTTTATTTTATTGTGGTCACCACAGGCTGGGAGAGGGACATCGATTAACTTTCCCTTCCCTTTTTCGGCAGCGGTAATAGTATGTGTACCCCGCAAAGGACAACGATGAGACGTATGACCCTGGGTGGGCGGCGGGTGATTTGCACTATCCTCATCATCTTGGATCAGCAACTTTCGACGTCGAGCTGGACCCGCAGTAGTCCAAATTGCAGTAGGGTTCATGCAGTTGTTGAGAGCTCGTATCTTCTTTCTTCGACTAAATTGTCAGTACTCACCCCATCAAGCGCCGAACGGTGAGCGATGGGAGCCAAAGTAGATTGATGATTGCTATGATTTCTATTCACCCAGACCGATCGTGGAGGACAATAAAACGACAGCATGTCATCAACTTCATCATACATTTTAAAACCCAACTTTTTTGTAGACATATGTTGGCCTCACTTCTCCTTACGGGTCGGGGAATCAAATTGGCAAGCCTGGCGCGTATGTCCCACTCTCCCACAGTGAAAGCAGAAGCTCGGGAAGTATTCATATTTTAAATTGACCCAGAAACAGCCCGTATCATCACTGGTCGCCATTAGTTGTGATCTTAGCGGCTTGGTATAAAAGGTAGATGTCTGACCACGATTGAAGTGACTATTCAATCGATACAAGAGCTCACGAGCTTGGAATCCACCAAAGTCAACACAAGTCGCAACTTGCACAAAAACCTAAAGGTTCCCAATTTGATTAACCAAAGTATAAGTTTTTACAACGTAAATAGAAGGCTATTTATAGCCAAGAAAACCTAATACAAACCTAGATGAACAAGGAAACAAATAAGGTAAAATTCTACTCTAAAAAGGTTACAAAATTCGGACACAAACTTCCTTTCTTGAAGTACAAGTAAGCTGCCCGCAAAACAGTCACTTCGTGCCTTTTGTTCGAGGCCTTCCCGAACTCCAATTCTTCATCCAATTCCTTCCCTTTGTTCACAAACATACCTAGTTTCACGTTGTGGAAACCTTTTGACATGAATCTCATACATGCTCCTAGAATTAAGCTCCAAAGTAGGCTTCACAAAATAGTTTTCTGCCTTAGCCATTTTCTGGCAGTTTTCTAGTTTTGAGGTAGCAACTTTGAGGCCTTGGAAAACAACCTTTATGACATCATCTGGATCCATAAAGCATCACCAAGCCAATTGCGAGAACCATGCCTCCAAAATATGTACCTTGACACTGTTCCAACACAACAAAAAATCAGAATTTTTCATGTGAGGTGAGATGGCTTCTTTGTCGAGTAATTGTGACTTGTAGATTGATCCAATTGGGATCATTTCAGGCCCTCCCTCTTGAAAAGGTGTTGCCCTCAACAGTTTGGCCTTTATTTGCTCAAACCGTTCATAGAATTGATCCCAAATTGGATCGAAAGTAGGCTGCTCGCTCATCTTTTGTTGCAGAAAAATTACAGCTGTAAACTCGCCTTCAAGCTTCTCCAGGGACTTTGAAACTTGAAGAGCAGTTTGACATTCTTCCCTGACTAGAAACAGACCTTCCTCGTCGACCAATTTCGTAGGAAATCGATTAGAGCTTCTCCAGGTCGTCGGACTGCAGTTCGACACATGTTCTTCGTCACAATTGGGGGTTTTGAATTGAAGCATCCCCAATCCAATTCGATTACTCCACGAGATTCTCCAGGACGCCAATTTTAATTCTGGACCTGTTCCCAGACTCGATTCATCACCATCATTGTTGAATCGACTATTCCCCTCTTCCCGCCGTCGCCCGATTTTGAATTTCCAGAACTGAGAAGTGGCAAATTCAATTTGGGCGTTTCCATCTCGATCATACCCAGCTCCAATTTATCATTCCTATAGCTACCTAGGATCATCCCTGATGATTCCACAACAGCCGTTTGGATCGAACTGTCTTCAAACTCGCCAACCCCATTGAAATTTTCGAAACCCAGATTTTCCAATTGCAAATTGAGTGTTTGTGATTCAAGCAGGGTAGTGACAAATTGATCGATGATAAACCTTCCAAACACCTCCAGTATCGATTCTGAATCATTTTTTCTGCTTGATTCGAGCTCAAACTCGCTATGCCCAAAGGGGTTTCTGCGGTTGTTCGTTGTTGTAAACAGGGGTGGTTGTGCTCGAATTGAACCTTCCATTCTAGCTTCGTTCGTCTCCGATGAATTATCTTTCGACATTGCTGGGGTCGTGGGGATCATTTTGGTACCAGTGGTTGAGGTTGATGTCGTCCCTACAACTCCGACCAATTCAGTCTCTCTCCTGCTCTATTTTTTCGGATGGAGTGGAGACTCTGTTGCTCGCGTCACCGGATTGAGTCGTCCGTCGGCAGCCTGCTCCCGACCTTCTCCTCGCTCGTCCATAATTCCTTCCAACTCCAGCAATGCTTCTCTGGCCGCGTCGGACTCCAGTTTTGCCTCCTCGTCGCCGGTATGACTATTGGTACCGGAGCTCTGTTTTGTTGACGGAAAACAGGGGCACACAACTCCATGGGACAACTCTTCCTCAATGAGCTTGATCTCCGGCTGCTGCTCCCTATTAGAAACCTCCATCGCCAACATCTGTTCCTCCTCTTCACGGGTTTGTTTCAGCAGCGTGGCTTGATCTTCAACAACTTCTTCCGGCGAGAGAAACTTCAAAGCAAAAATTGTCCCACAATCGCAATATGATGTGGTTTGTTCTTCTGCTCCGTCGAGCTCCGCGATCGACGTGTCAAGGATTGCCAAGCACTATATGAGTTAATTTCAGAGGAACCACGTCACACCGAACCTCATCCTCGTAGCTTCCGATTTTGAAAGGTAAGGTCACCTCCTCTGTTACGAAAACAGAGCTTCCTGTTTCCAGCAATGACACCGAATGAGGAGCTGGATGTTTTTGCGTCGACAGCCCCAATTTAGCCACTGCACAAGAACTAATCAGGTTTGATTTGCTCTCACCATTGATGCACACGGAACACACCTTCTCTCCCACCAAATAGCGCGTGTACGAGGTCAAATTAGCTTGCTCCAATTCGACCACCATGGCTGCCCTGTTTTTTCGACGACTTCTGCTTGTATGAATCAGCACGTTTTTGCCTTCTTCTGCGCCCTCGTGTAGAACGGGGCTCTGATGCCACTTAATACGCCCCGGGGGTGTATGTTATCAAAGTCACACAGCTAACGACTTAATCGAAAGACCGATTGAGCTCGAATCAAGAACGAAGCGTTCTTAATACGAACTTGGATAAAACAGAACCAAATGGACGATTCCACACCTGGGGAACGCCCGATTGGTATAAAAGGTAGATGCCCGACCATGATTGAAGTGACTATTCAATCATTCAAGAGCTCACGAGCTTGGAATCCACCAAACTCAACACAAGTCGCAACTTGCACAAAAACCAAAATGTTCTCAATTCGATTAATCAAAGTCTAAGTTCTTACAACGTAAATAGAAGGCTATTAATAGCCAAGAAAACCTAATACAAACCTAGATGAACAAGGAAAAAAATAAGGTAAAATTCTACTCTAAAAATGTTACAAAATTCGGACACAAACTTCCTTTCTTGAAGCCCGAGTAAGGTGCCCGCAAAACAGTCAAAAGGCAGCTTTCGTACTAACTTCGCACCTTTTGTTCGAGGCCTTCCCGAACTCCAATTCTTCATCCAATTTGTTCCCTTTGTTAACAAACATACCTAGTTTCACGTTGTGGAAGCCGTTTGACATGAATCCCATCCATGCTCCTTGAATTGAGCTCCAAAGTAGTCTTCACAAAACAGTTTTCTGCCTTGGCCATTTTCCGACAGTTTTCCAGTTTTGAGGTAGCAACTTTGAGGCCTTGTAAAACAACCTTAATGACATCATCTGGATTCATAAAGAATACCATTGGAAAGATGGCAACTTTATATGCAAAATAAATCCTTAAAACTGAATTTCCACCAATCCAATTGCGAGAACCATGCCTCCAAATTATGTACCTTGACACTGTTTCAACACTTAACCAAAATCAGAATTTTTCATGTGAGGTGAGATGGCTTCTTTGGCAAGTAATTGTGACTTGTAGATTGATCCAATTGGGATCATATCAACTTGAATCGTAGAAGAATGGCGATGGGTAAAATGGAGTTGGCGCGGCAATGCATGGTACGTAGGCAGACATGGGGCCTTCAAAATTGACTCAGGAAAAGTAGAAAGAAAGAGATGTTGACAGGACTGCGGTCGGCGTAGACCCTTCACCATTTTACCTGAATGAGGACGACACCGGTTCAGTGGCGGAGCCACTTGGAGAGGAGGGGGGTGCAAGCACCCCCCTTGGGTTTGGAGAAATTTTTTCCGAGTAGGGGTATATACAAATTCGAACCAATGACCATTCAGTTGCAGGAAGAATTTCTTATCATTTCGATCGAGTGAGTTTTGTTATGCAATGCACTTTCGTCTTTATTTATAGTAATAAATTGTTGTCTTTTGTTTAAACTCGCTCATTTTTTTTATAGCTCTACAACAGTGAAATTTCTTGTCTTTTGTTTAAACAAAGTTGAAAGTGAAGAAGTACCAATTAAAGTTCACTTGTTTGTTTCACAAAATCAATTCCAAGGTGCTTCTGAGTTCTAATTTGTAATATTTGATGAATGGAAGTCTTGATTTGTATGTACTGAACTTATTTGTTTGACGTTGTAACCTATGTACGTGAAACTATTTTAATGTAATTGTATGAATTTAGAGTATTGTGTTGTTGACTTTTTGATTAATTTAAAGTTGACGTTTCTATTGCATAGGTAATTTTTTATGATATGATAAAGACACCCCCTTAGCCAATTTTCTGGCTCCGCCACTGCACCGGTTGACAAGCCCTGCAGCATTCAGCGCGTTGCCCTAATGTCTTCCCGCAACGTAGTACAGAGAGAGCGGGTGAATAGCGCTCTTTTTAAGGGTTCGCCACTTCTAGTGCCCTATATGGATATAGGGCATTACCCATCCATCCTTCCTTGTCCAACTCCGATTGAGATGGAAGAGAGAATCTCCACATCGCCACAATCGACGAGCGAGATTTGTTTTTCTTTGTTGAAATGATCTTCGCATCAAGTTCTTCATCATCGCCAGCCTGTTGATGAATTGCATAATCGACTGTTAGGATCATCCCTAACTTTCTCATCGCCAGCCTGTTTGGCCAAGCAGACGACGCTAGAAGCATTTTTCGTCCCCGAGTGATTGTTCTATTCCCCGTGTCGGCGACGCACGCAGATCTTTCCCAGCTGGTAATCCAAGGCCGGTCTGCCGCTCCTTTCCCATTCTAATCCAGCGTTCTGTAAACTTACCTCTAGCAAGACGAGGATCGCCGAGACAAGATGTCGACCGAGAAACTGGCAGAAGCTTAGGAGAGAGGAGAGGGCACTCGTCTTTTTTTTTTCTCTCTCTTTAAATGGGTATTTTGGATACTCACAAAAGATTTGGAAATAAATTGTTAGAGATAAAAGTAATTCGGCTGTTGTTCAAAAGAGGAAAATAAGAAACGAAATAACCTATAAAAACATACAAATCCCACTTGTGAAACTAAAACACTCATGCATGCACCATCAGTTCCAATTTCACACACACGCAAATTAAGACCCAAAAACAATTTCTTACTCCAATGCCAAAGTAGTTTTTTTCTTCTTATTCTTCTTCTTCTTTCATGCAATTGGTCAATGGTTTCTTAGCTGCCTAAGGTTCATGGGAGAGATGTATTTAGTGTCTCCATCCAAAAGTTGTTTAGCGATGATCACATTGGCAGCCTCACTCGGATGGTATGGATCCCAAAACACATGCTTCGAACGATCTGCGCACATACTTGATGTTGGTCCACATGGAACTATCCCAGCGAATTGCCCCCCATTTCCACAACATGCCCTACTTGACGTCGTAAATCCTTCATAAAACAAAAACAAAAAAAGTTAATCAATCGTTGGCATCAATCATATATGAATCGCCGAGTGAAACTAGTACTAAATCAGAGTTGGTCCTGTGTGATTGAATATAACTATTAAGTTGGGTGACCAAGGGGAGATAGGTTACACAGTTTTCTTATACCGTGAGAAGGCTTATGAGTCGGGGATATTAAAATCAGCATTGGGATGGGTTTTAAGAAATTTTTAAATTTTCAACGTGGGAATTGGATTGAAGAGAGTTAATGAGTTTATCGATATTGTCTTTTTTTTAGTATAATCATAAGTATCCAAATAGATCATTTGAGTACAAATCTAAATGAGTTTACCCAAATTGAACTCAATTCAAACCCAACCCAAAGGTCAAAACCATTGAATATACGTACAAGTTTCTTTCCGCTCCAATACTCATTTAGATCATGACAATTGAGTTAAAGACGCACCTGATTTCACTAATCTCATTGAAAAGTGATATCACCCAAACCTTATTCGATGATCACTATAGTAATCATCAAGTCACACACTGAACGAAAAGAAAGATTGTTCGATGACCAAAACGAAACCAACATAAAAGCCTAGTGACCAATCGAGCAAATTTCACATACACATAAAGCAAAGTATTCTTGCCGTAAGCGTACCGTATTTGCCATAATTGCTGATGAGCTCCATGACCAAATCATAGACGTTGGCGTGAACGAACACTGCATCAGGCATATTGTCATTCATCTCTGCAAGCAAATCCTTCAACCTGCCATTGTACTGAAGGGCAAGCTTGTTCGGCAAATCCACACACTCATTCTCCTTCAACTGGTTTATCGTCTTCTGGTACGGAATGCATCCAATCGGCCCAACGTTGCCAATCACAAACTTCCGAGCGTCCAATTGGTAAAGCCTCTGCCACCGCCGGGGGCAAAAACAGAGTAATCAGAACAAGAAAACTCAAAGTACCATTCTTGTAATTGATTAAGTAGATTTCACACGAAACTTACAGTGAGTTGACCTCTCAAATGGGAGATCATGTCGTCGATGAACGCATCCGGGCTCTGCGAAATCCTGGCGCCGACGGAGAGGACAGGGAGGAGGTAGTTGTTGAGGAAATCGTTGGCTCCAACGGTGATGGAGAAGATGGAGTTCTTGGTGATGAATTCTCTGGCTTTCGATGCTCCCAAAAGCTGATCGAGCTGCTTCCTCGTGATGTTGAAGTAGTCGATTTGCACGTCCATTCCCAGCCTGTTGACGAATATTCTTCCGGTGGCGTTCATGATCCCTCCGCCGCCGGAAGCGTAGTTGACCCCTGACAGGAGAGCTTTTCCGGTGGTGTTGGGTGCTAGAAACGGCTGTGCGTAGTTCGTCTGCCCAAGTTCTTCCCCTGCAAATCGATTATGCAGAGATAATACGCATGGTCTAGAAGTATCTTCCAGTTCCAGATCGCCCAATACGTGATAAGAATCCAGGTATTCCTATTAACCTTTGATAATCTAACAATACGATAATCCGGAGAATTTGCCTACCACCATAAATAACAGAAAAATCAAGGAAGGCAGAGCATATGCCCTGCTGCCGGCCAAGGTTTCGTGAGCTTACCGACGATGTCACTGATGGTCTTCCCGTTGGTGTATCTGCCGGTGGGACTCCCACCGGATGCCGCGAAATCGATCCCATTAGGCCGAATGTTGGCCTTGGACAGAGTGGAGATGAAATTGTTGTTGCCAGCATCAACCAGAGAATCCCCAAAGATGAACGAAGCGCCATTTGCAGCATCGTCGGCAAAAGCTGATCCGCTCAAATTGATGATGATGAGCACCGCAACAAGTAAAGCCAAACCCATGATTTAATTTTGGGGTTTCTTTCCTTTTTCCTCTGTTTCTCAGCTGCAGCAGCTAACAGAGATAGGGGCAGAGTATTTAATGCAGCAGAGAAATACAGAGTCAAAAATGGGTTTTGCCGCGCGAGTTAACTTGTGAAAGCTGCTGGTGAAGTTGCGAGTTGGCGTGACCAGAGGAATTTTTTTGTAAGGTGGTGGGTTTTGGTTTTTCTTCCTTCCGATGGTGGGAAATGAAAGAGTTGAGGGTTTGGAGTTGGATTTTGTGTAATATGGGCATGCGGTAGTTCAGCAAACTCGTTGGTGTAAGGGAGAAGGGGATGGTGTTTTTTTTTTCTTCTTTTTTCTCAACCTGTGAGGAGACTTTTTCTTATGGTACACTGCAAAGTTGGACCGTGTGGGGGATTTGAATTCCAAATTAGTGTGTAGAAAGTGCAAAAGACTGAGTGACGTGTGAGGATTTTGAGTGGCCTGATTGTGGGAAGTGATTTGTTTGGGGGAAAGTAGGTGGTTGTTTGGGATCTATAAAATTTTGGGGGAGGAGTGACTTTGGCTAATAGGCATGGTTTTCAACAAATCACAATCATAAATTTGTAATTGCTTAGTCTATTCTTACCCTTTTGTAATAGTTGGAGCTTTATGTTCAATGATTGTCCGAATATGATTGGAAACTCTTAGAGATTAATAGTGAGTTATGGAAAAGGTTTGAGCTCAATTTACATTATTCAGATATCGAACAAATGAGAAACAAATATTGACACTAGTAAATTTTTGTATAGAGTCCAATACTTTAATGTTTATTGTTCCATTGCATTGTGAAGATGATTATAAACACAATATCTTCTCTTAAAATTTTCTTCATAACGATTATTCAAGTTTCTTGCTTATTATGGATTTCAAAGATCATATAAACAAATAAGTGAACCTACCTCATATACTAAAGATCACTCTCAAAATTACAAACCAAATTAATAGACTTTGAAACAAGCAAGCATTCACCACTTTCCTCTTACTTTCGCGGGGGGGGGGGGGGGGGGGGGGGGGGGGGGGGGGCATAAGAACTGGAGACCATCGGGAAAAAGATGAAGCTATAAGGGTTGTAGGCAAGTTTCACTAGTTAGGTGAAAGTGGCGGCGAGTGAAAGGTTGAAGGAAACAAGTTTTTTTTTTTTATAATGGTGATGATAAGATTAAGGAAAAAAAGAAAAGGTTCAAACCTGATACAAAAACAAACCAAGCAAGGATCACAAGAAGTGATCACAAGCAGAGCAAAAGAAACACAAAAAATACAAGAAGGGAAAATAGACAAAAGCAAAACTAAAGCAAACCATAATGGTAGGGTGTCCAACGGTTTGTTCCATAGCAGACTGCATCAGACCAATCTGACACCTAAACCAGACCAAATTTACCGACTATAATGCAGTCCGATCATTGGTCCTATGAATTTTATAAGTATATAAGGAAAATGGGTTTCATTGATATTTGGACCATACCACACTAGAACTAGTACACATTGGTCCAGTCATTGGTCCTAAATGCTTTATTCTAATGAATTGCGGTTCTCAAGGCTTATTCTGATAGGGTTCAAACGGAACAATTGCACACCAGTACAATATTTCCTAATACTCAAATATCAAAATGCTAAAAATGGTTTAAAAGTCAGCTTTTAATGCTTTTACTAGGCTTGAGGGCTCTTACTTGGGGCTTTGGTGCAAAAAGCTTTTGAGGGGTTGAAAGTGTAAAAGCTTATGATTTTAGGCTTTAAAGCTAGCTTTAGACTGCATTGCCTACAAAGTCTCCTTCCAACTAACCACAAACCTCCAAGAGTGAATACATATTCAGTCGTAGATCTCCTTGAGTCAACATCTTCAGCATAATCAGAATAACCAACCATTAAGTACTTCATATCACTTACAAAACTTATCCTCATATCAGTTATGCCTTTAAGGTACTGAAAAATCCTCTTCACAACTTGTCAATGGTCCACCTATATTGCACCATGAACTTGCTTACAACATAAACATTATGTGCAAGATCAAGTATAGTGCATACCATAGCATACATCTAGTTACATAATGCACTAGAGTATGAGACTTGAGACATGTTCTCCTTCTTAGCTTCATATTGAGGTGCATAGACAGAGGGTAGATGAACCATTGAAACAGTAGGAGTGTTTACGAGCTTTTTTAATGACATGCCAAACCTGGACACTATCTTCTCTAGACATAGCTTTTCTGTGATAGAAAAAGTTTCTTATGAATCTTTCCCTATAAATCTCCATACCAAAATATTCTGAGCAGCTTCCAAATCCTTCATCTCAAACTTAGCATTGAGAATACCCTTCAATTTCTATATATCATACTTGGATTTCGAAGCAATGATCATGTCAATATAACATCTACCCATATAACCAGATAAATCATCAAATTATCATTAGCCTTCTTGTGGAATAAAAACAATAATATGGACTTCTGTTGTACCCTAGCTCAATCAAATAGTTGTCATACCTTTTTCATGTATATACACTTGCAAGCTTCTTCCCATGTGGTCGTTTGACTAGCTCCCAAGTCTAATTCTTGTCTAGTGATTGCATCTCATCTCCCATTGCAGCAAGCCATTAAGTAGAATCACCACAGGAATAGAGTCTTTGTAGGTAAGTGACTCACTCATATCATTTATCAACCACTTCAACAGCCTTAAATGCTTAAGCCATCATATCTTCAAAGCAATACCTCTTTAGAGGTATTTTGCACTGGCTCCCTTTGGTCGATCAGAAGCTACAGACGGTTGAGCTTGTGTACTGAACCCTAAAGATTCTGGAATATGAAAGCAACCACATGTAAATCTTCTCCACTGTGGTATTGTAACTCACTCTCATCTAGAAAATTTTTGCAGCCCACAAATACACTCTTCTAAGGGAAACAAGATAAAAGGTGACCAGACTCGATATCTCTTAAATCCATCTCTGAAACCCACAAATACACTCTTCTTAGATCTTGTATTCAATTTAACTTCGTCCACATGATAGTAAATAGGAAAAGAAAAAACTTTCAAATAAGAGTAATCAACATGCTTATCATACCACACCTCATATAGGACGTTTGACATTCGATAATAGTGTGAGGGTCACATTTGATAAGATAGCACGCCATGTTTACTACTTCTACCAAAAATCTTCTCTCTAGTCAAGCATTAAGGAACCTGCACCTTGCTCTCTCCAATAATGTCTTATTCATGCATTCTATCATCCCATTATATTACAGTGCATCTCTACAGTGTAATGACGAGCAATCCCTTTATTTTTGCGGAATTTGTTGAACTCAGAACTGCATAATTCAAGTCCATCGTCAGTTTGCAGCCTTTTGATCTTCTTACCAGTTTGATTCTCAACCAAATTCTTCCACTACTTGAATGTCTTGAAAACTTCATTTTTATTATTCGCCATAAATACCCAAATAAACCTTGAGTGATCATCGATAATTGATAGTAAAAAAGTACTTCATCCAATAGATTCGACTCGAGAAGGACCCCAACAGTCACCTTGGAGGTAATTATGTATCCTCTTCAACATGTTAATACTCTCTTTGGAAACTTATTGCAATGCAACTTCTCAAACACACATAGTTTGCAGAATTCAAGACAGTGCACCTTGCGCCCACAAAGAATATGTCACGTTTTTGTTGATTATGTGTACATTCTTAAAACTTAAATGGTTTTGTTGATTATGTGTCCATTTTCTTGTACTTGTAGGACGAAAAAATCAAAGAAAGCTGGTTCGGTACCTCCTCGTCCTTGAAGCTCTTCAAAGGAAGGCAAGGCTTCAACTAGTGCACCTTCCACTACGCAAATCCACCTCCTCCATCGGCAGTAAATCCACCACCTCCATCTGCAGCAAATCCGGCTACTACTGGTGTTGCTAGTGAGGTACCTGGTGTGCAAAAGAAAATTGACAAGTGGAAGAGGAAGAAGACGTCTAAGTGGTGGATCCCTTATGATGAGGTGCTAGTGGATGACTATCCATTTGGAAAATGCAAACGGTGTGGGACGCTGATCAAAGCTCATTCTACCAACAATGGCACTATTGGTTTGAAAAACCATCACCTGATGTGCGAGAGGAGGTCGAAGGAAGCCAGTTGGCAGTCGGTATTAAACTATCAAGCTAGTGGGACTGGTGAGGTAGGCTCTCTTACTCCGTGAAAGTTTGATCAGAACAAAGCTAGACATGCATTAGCTATCATGATAATCTTGGATGAGCTTCTGTTTTGATTTGTTGAACGGGAAGGATTTAGGAGATTTATGGCAGTAACTCCAATAAGAGCTGATTGTTATGTCATTTTTCTGGAGAAGAAAGAGATGTTGATTGAGTTTTTTAACTCAAAGTGAAAAGGAAGGATTTCTATCACTACAGATACATGGACTAGTGATAATAACCAGAATTATATGTGTGTGACTCCACATTTTATTGGAGATGATTGGAAACTGCAGAAGAGGATTATTTGTTTTGTTCCCATTACTAGTCATACAGGGAGAGACGTTGCAGATACTTTGGTAGCATGTCTACAAGAATGGAAAGTGAAGAATCTGTTTTGCATGACAATGGATAATGCAACTTTCAATGATGTTCTTGTTGAGTGTACGAGAACAAAACTGAAGGGGTGGGGATCGAATTTTCTAGATGGGAAGTATCTGCGGTATAGATGTGTGGCACATATAATCAATCTGGTTGTCTCTGATGGATTGAAAGAGGTTGGAGTTGTTGTGGAGAGGGTAAGGGATTGTGTGAAATGGGTGAAGTCATCACCAGCTCGGAGTGCAAAGTTCAAGTCTAGCATCGACTACCTAGAGATGGATGGTAGAGGACTTGTGTCTTTGGATGTTCCGACTTGGTGGAATTCCACCAATTTGATGTTGGACTCTGCAGAGAGGTTTGAGAAGGTGTTTAAGGTCATGTATGATAGTCCTACTGATGCTTCCTTTTGAGACTATGTGGACTCCAAGAAGGGGGGTCTTCCATCTGGAGAAGATTGGAGTAGCATTAGGCGTCTCATGAAGTACTTAAAGTTCTTTTTATAATCTTACTCTTCGTGTATCAGGTATGTGAATGAACTATCAAATTTTAAAATTCATGTCTTAAAGTTAAAGTGAATGATTTCTCACTTACATTTATTCTTTGTAATTTTTTCTTTGTATCAGGAACATCATATGTCACTGCACATACTTTCTGCAGAGCCATTGTTGATATTCATGAAGTGATTGCTACTTTGAAGAAGGATGTAGATGAAGAGATTCAAAGAATGGCAGAAAGAATAGAGGCAAAGGTGAGAAAGTATTGGTTTGAGAATAATGCTGATGAGGAGGAGGATAACCTTAGAATAAATAGGATAGTAACATGACCTGTGTGTTTGATCCAAGGCGTAAACTATACTATTTGACTATGATGTTGGAAGAGATGTATGGAAAGTCAAAAGGGGAAGCTTTGGAAGATCAAGTGAAGAAAGAGATGGCACTATTGTTCGAGGTCTACAAGGTGAAGTATGCATCTTCACCTTCTGATTCTGAAGCTACTACTCAGACTACTACTCCTATTGTGACTAGTGACGAGTCTTCTGTTATGGGAGGTGCATTTGAAGCTCGATTCCAGCAGAAGAGAAAGGAGCAACTTGAGAGGGGGTCGAGTATATGGTGAGTTGGAGTCATATTTGAGAGATGTTGGTGATGTTGTTAACGAGGAGATTGATGATAGGAAGTTTGACATTCTGAGGTGGTGGTCTCTTAACAGTGTTAGATATCCCATTCTTGTAGAGATGGTTAGGGATATATTAGCAGTTCCAGTATCCTCTGTTGCCTCAGAGTCCGCTTTCAGTTGTGGAGGTCGATTTCTTAGTCCTTTTAGATCATCTTTGAGCCCAAACATTGTAGAGGCCTTGATTTGCATTGAAGATTAGATAAGGTATGAAAGTGGAAAGACTGTAGATGAACTGAATGATAAGGAAGAAGATCAGGAGACAATCGAGTTTGAGAATGGTAAGAATTCAATTCATTATTCTAATTTGTATATTCTCTTTACTATTAAGCCATTCCATATTTAAATTATTAATATTTGTGTTTTTTCTTTGCACTAGTGGCTAATACTTTCCAAACTCGAGTGGAAACTGCTAGTGAAGTTAGAGCACATAACTTACCTGTTGGGGTTGTTGAGGAGGACGAGGAGACTGAGAGTGATGATATTAGTAGTGACGATGATGATCCCGAAGTTTCTCTTCTTAGGACTTTGAAGAAGAAAGGTTATGTTAATGTTGGTGGTGGGACAACAAGTTCTATCGGAGAAGGAGGAGCATGAGATGCAAGTTTAATAGTTTATGCGTTTATTTATGTTGTGTTATTTGGGGACTTCAAAGATCCATTTTTATTATTAAGTTTGAAGTTTGAACTTGTGTAAATTTAGATTTTAGACATTGTCATTAATCATTATGCACTTTGGTTGATTGACAATTATGTTGATTATCGTCCCTTTCAATTTCAATATGTGATGATACTTAATGAATTTCAGAATTTGAACTTGTTATAAATCAATTATGGTTTGACAAATGACAATTGTAATGCTGTAAATTATAAAAATTCTAAATATTATAAATAAGAGTTAAGGAATTACATTATTGATTACATAAAATACAAAAAAAAACCATGGAATTTTTAAAAAATTTGCCCAGCCTCTCATCTGCCCACAATCGGTCCGGTTATTTCTTGGTTAACCGAACTGGAATGCCGTTTCCCCTCCTTGGCTCGGTGTTTTGGTATAACCGGTTTGTAACCGTTAACCGATTATTTGGTAACCGGTATCGGTATTCGGGCGTGGTTTCATCGCAAACGGTATATCGTAACCGGTTCGGTCGGTAACCGGTTAACCAGTTACCGACCGATTACCAGCCCTATCCATATTCATGGAAGCCATCATTGAATTTCAAAAACTCTAAAATATTAGTCAATCTCGGTTCTAATACCACTTGTTATGTCAGAAGGTAAATCAACAATGCAATAAAGTAAAAAAATACATAGATTTATATGGTTCACGAACACAACGTGAGTTAGCTAATTCACAAGCAGGAGAGACCAGTTTCACTATAATTATGGAGATATAAATTACAGAGAGATATGTACATATCAACTTCTCCGGGTGGCCAAACCATAACCCAACCTGGAAAGTTAAAGTTACCAAACCAACAACTACTAATCTATGTTCAAGTCGTAACAACAAAATCGATCAAACCAGAGTCAGCCAAACCATGGTAAATAACTCCCCATTGCATCCTGAACCATCATTTTTTAGCTCAAACACCATATAGTTCATTCACTTCCAAATGCCCAAGCACAAAGCCAGAATCATCATCACCCTAGGCGGTGAGTAGGTTGAATGCAGATCCCCTAAAAATCTTATTCAAATTATCTAGCCCTCAAGCATGCATGTCAGCAAGGCTTGTAGCCAATCAAAGGCTTTTTAGTTTTTAGTATTTTCATTCTGTGCCATCTAGAACACTTTCTTCCTTCTTTTTCGATTCTCCTATTATTCTTAATTGATGCGTATTGTTTCGTATCAAATCCGAATTTATATATTTTTGCGCCAAAAACTCATATTTCTGCACTCAGAAGCTATTTTTGCGCTTTCAGACCTTCGCTATAGAATAAATTTGAGCGAGACTTTTGGCATGCTAAGATTGGAGAATCTCTTCTTCTGGTCGCTACACCTTCCCTTGCTTTAGGAATGGCAATGAGGCAGGTCCGGGCCGGGTATCTCGATACCCATACCCGCCCCGTGGCAGGTCGGGTCCAAGTCGGGTAATTTATTATGGGGCGCGGGTCAGGGCAGGTCGACCCAATGGGTATGTAATTTATGTGAAAAACTTAAAAAAATATTCATTACTTTCATTAAAAGACCAAGAAATAAACCAAAATATGATAAAATGTAGTTAAAGTATTGGAGAAATTGAGGTTTTCACTTATTTACAACTTTATTATAGCTAAAATATGAGGTAATATGAGGAAAATTCGAAGTAATTTGACTAAGATTACATGTAATTTAGACAAGAACGGGTCGAGAATGGGGCGGGTCAGGGCAGGTCGGGTCGACGAGAGGTACCCATGCCCGCCCCGCCTCAAAATAGGCCAAACAATTCTGGTAAAACGGATCAGGTCAAAATTGTCATCCCTACCTTGCTTCCACATGCCTGCCACCTGCTTCTGATATGCACAATAATTTTCATTTTGATATACATTGAAAAACAAAAGTCCAAAAGCATGAGAACTATCATATGTTCACGAGTCGCGCTTCTAATTGACAGTTACTAAACTATATCAATATGCTCAATATTATACCACCATACAGGAATGATTCATGTATTATCATAGTTCATGGGACACATTTCTTATTTTACTAATTTACTATACTATAACAATGTTTAAATTTGTGCTATCATAATATACAACAATTTAATTCATATTAAAACATTTACATTTTGGTGAGGCACAAACTAAATAATCCGTAAACTATCACTTTTCAACTCAACTCATAGCTAGTGATGATTATAGGGGCTTTTCTGGTCTTGGTTAAAGGCCTATGAGCTATGAATGCACCAAGTTATTTATATTAAAATACTAAAAATTAATTTTTGAAATTACTAGTGGCAATTAGTGTCATTTTGATCCCGATTAAACCCCCAGGCTTTTCCCTTTCCTTTTTTCTTTTCCCTCTCCCACCACACCTTAAAAACTCACGAAAAGTCGACCGTTGATACTCCACCTTTCCCACTCCCTCAAACAGTCAAACTCTCACTGGTCGCACTCTCACTCGCCCACTCACCGCCACTGTCCACTGGTCGCTCCCTCAGAGAATTGAGCCGAGAAAAGAAACGAAAATGCCGACTCTCAAGAAGGTCGGCCACCGATCATCGGAACCGGACCCATCAATCGACAGGAACATTGGCATTCAGACGCCAAAGATTTCGGTCTACGAACAGACGAGAGAAGAGAGAATCAGAGCTAACTTGGTGAGGATGCAGAAGCTAGGCCTCAAGGAACTCTCTCTCAACCTCAATCCACTTTCCCGGACCAAACCCAAGCAGCAGCGCAAAAGCTACACTAAGTTCTCCGAGATGCCGGACCTTTCTTGCCCACGCCGCCGCTCTTCTAGGTCAATTGAATTTCACCCCTTTTCTTCTTATCCCTTGTGGGTTTTTCATTCTTTGCTTCTGATTCTTGTGATCTGCTAAAGGAGATGAAGTCTTGTGGAGTAGGGTTTTACTTTCCATTGTGAAACCTTGCTTTCCTGCTTCTTTTATTGTTTGTTTCATGGATTGGCATTAGAATCTGTACATGAGAGGGTTAGGGTTTTGTTTGACCCTCCTTGTTTTTAAAGGAAATACTTGTGCTAATATGGTAGGTTGATTGTTGATGAGTACTTTTGGGGAATGAAGTCCTGCAATTAACTTGGTATGAATTTAGGCTGCAAAACATAGATCCCCCTAGCTATGCAGAAGGGGGGAAGTCGAAGATGGATGCGTTAGAGGATGATGAACGTGTGAATCGAAGAGCTGGTAGCAAGCCGGAGGTTTACTCGGAAGAGCAAGTGAAGAGGCTCGGGGGCACCGAGAGGACCTGGACACTTTTCGTGGATGGATATGGGAAAGATGGGAGAAGAATTTATGATCCCATTAATGGCAAGACTTGCCACCAGTGCAGGTCAGTGTGATTTTTGCCATTGCTTCCATGCTGTATGACAAGTGATGCTTCATTGTGTCTGAACTCTGAAGTCCGTACTCTGAATTTTTTCTGCTATTTTGCAAGTTTATTGTAACTGGCCTTTGTTTCGGGAAAGTTATGGTATATAAGATGTGGATATGGTACGTAGTGGTGGGTTGATACTAGTTTATGGTTTAGGGGAGGGCAAGTTATCTCAGTTGTTTCAACATAGAAACTTAATGCTACTAACTCATTTTGAGTAAGCTGGGAGGGAGGTTATTCCAATCTTTGACGGTTTAATTCCTGTGTTACTCTCTTTATATGGTTATGGTATTTACTTCATGCTATTACAAGATGAAATTTGTCATATATGCAGGCAGAAAACTCTCGGTCATCGCACTCACTGTAGCAGTTGCCAAAGGGTGCAAGGGCAGTTTTGCGGAGATTGTTTGTACATGAGGTGTGGTTTTCTCACATTACCTTGCCATTGTTTCCAGTACATTACCTCTTGCAGTTTTGGTCGTTTGGACAGACATTTAACTAACAAACCTAAGTGGAACACTTGCTGGTCGTGGGTTTAATAACCTTGGATCAAATTGTTTTGCAACTTGCTACCATTAAGCTAATCATCGATAACTGAGAATTGAAATCCTATTGTAATTTAGCATTTAATCCTCCCTATGTTCTTCAACTAGATATGGGGAGCATGTACTTGAAGCCTTAGAAGATCCAAACTGGCTATGCCCAGTCTGCCGTGGGATATGCAACTGCAGCTTTTGTAGACAAGCAAAAGGGTTTGCTCCCACCGGAATTATGTACAGAAAGGTAAGTGAATGCTGAAATCTGGCCTTCCTATGCTATCGGAGTAGAGGGATAAAGTTTGTGCCTTTATGTTTGTATTTTGCCTTTCCAGATATCAAGCTTGGGGTACAAGTCAGTTGCACACTACCTCATGCAGACCCAACGTCCAGAAACCAATGTTGCCGATGAAAGCTCAGCTCCGTCAAGTGGAGAATCTGCTCAAAGATTACTTGAATTTTCAAATACCAAAGAAGCAGAACCAAAGGAACCTTGTGAAATCAAGCATCAAGAAGATACACCTGTGCAACAACCTAATTCTGAAGACCTCAAACCTGGCAGTGATAGCGAGATAAAGAGATTGGTGTGGTTATCAAATACTGAAGTAGGTTGTGACTACGCAAAATTTATTTCAGCAACTCCTCCTAAAAGTGAAGGGAGGAGAGAAAACAAACTGAGAAGTGAAGAAGAGAAGGAGAAAATGGCCATTAACTTGGAGGCGGGGCAAAGGAGACGGAGCAGGAGACTCAGTGCAAGTGATGATCAGAATGAGGTTGAAATAACAATGGTGAGGGAGGGGAAAGCTTCTGGTGGCACCATGATGAACCAAGCTGGTGCGCCGAGCCCCAACAGCATTGGTGGAAGGCTTCGTCCAAGGAGTGGATTAGAACCTTTTGGTGGCACCACTAGTAACCAAGCTGCTGCACCAAGTCCCGATAGCATCGGTGCAAGGCTGCGTCAAAGGCGCAGATTATGTGCTTAAACTATTGAGTTCAAGGAGAAGATGAGCCTCCTTCACGTGGAGATGGCAGTTGCTTGAGACAGAGACACAAAGCAAGATGAAGACTTTTTGGGTGGGGGCGAGTCCTGTGTCTTTATTTTGTGAAGCGGATTGTAGATGTAATGTAGACATTTTTAGTTCTAGTTTATGAACACTCTAGGTTTCCTCTTATGTGGGATTGGTGCGAAGACGATGATAACATTCTAGGACAGGAGCATGGTTCGTTCAAGCTTTTGACTTTTGAGCCTGCAGAAACTGAAACCTGAAATGGTTCAACCTTCAGGCTGGTCCAACCGGTCAAGCGGCTTAGGGGCACTTGATAATTAATTGCTTACCAAATAAGAACCAAACCCGTAGCTCTTCCTAAAAGGTCCCGCCTTTTCGCCAGAGGCCCTGCCTTTCCTAATTTATCCTGAAGATGCGCGATGCTTTGCGCTTGACTCCAAAGGTCGAGGGCTGGTTGAAGCACCATGACCCAAAGCGCAATTCATTCGCCTCCCTGTCCCGCGATCTCGTTTCCCTCCTGGAATCCTGCAGTCGGACTTCCCAAATCGCCCAAGTTCATGGCTTTATGGTCACGACTGGTTTGCAACACGACCCTTTCTCCGTCAGCAAGCTTCTCGCTTTTTCAAAACGAGACACACGATACGCGGCCTCCATATTCGAAAATATCCGAGACCCAAATCTGTTCATGTTCAACACTATGCTCAGAGCCTATTCCATTAGCGGAACACCCTGGAAGGCCTTTGGTGTTTTCAGTGACTTGAGGGCTCGGAGCTTCTTGCTCGATCAGTTCTCTTTCATCATGACCCTTAAGTCTTGCTCCCGCGAATCGTCTGTGGAAATCGGACAGGCTATACATGGAGTTGCATTGAGATCTGGGCATTTATTGTTTGTCGAAGTTAAGAATGCACTTCTGCACTTCTATGGCGTTTGTGGGAAAATTGAACACGCCCACAAGTTGTTCGATGAAATTCCAGAGGAGAATGATCTTGTCACGTGTAACACAATGATGGCTGCTTATATGCAAGCTTGTCAGCCAGCAATGGCCATGAAATTGTTCAGGGAAGGGGTTAGGGGTGGCCAGGGAGTCAGCGAGACCACATTGCTGTCGGTTCTGTCGGCTCTCGGTGAATTAGAGGATTCACGTGGAGGCGAATCCATTCATGGCCACTGGATGAAGGTCGGCTTCCATTCTAATAAGAATATTGTGACTGCTCTGATTGACATGTATGCAAGAACAGGTAGTATAGAATTAGGACGTAGACTTTTTGATGGGACCATGTCTAGAGACGTCCTGTGGAATTGCATGATAGATAAATATGCAAAAGCTGGGCAGCTAGATGAAGGGATTACACTGCTAAAGCTCATGAAAAGTGAACGAATGAATCCAAATTCATCCACTTTGGCAAGTCTGCTCTCAGCTTGTGCTGCCTCTGGATCTATCAAACTTGGCCGGTACCTAAGTAGCTTTGTAGAACAGGAGGCAATGAAACTGGATGCAGTTCTCGGTACAGCTTTGATCGATATGTTTGCCAAATCTGGGTTTCTAGACAAGGCGGTCGACATCTTCCAGCGAATGGCGAGCAAAGATGTTAAGTCTTGGACTGCCATGATATTAGGTTATGGAGTTCATGGGCAGTCGAGTAATGCTGTTGCTCTCATGTACAAAATGGAGAGTGAAGGATACAGGCCAAATGAGGTCACTTTCTTGGCTGTACTAAGTGCTTGTAGTCATGGTGGGATGGTGAAAGAAGCAATGGAATGCTTTTGGAGGATGGTTGAACGATATGGTCTCCTACCCAAAGTTGAGCACTATGGTTGCATTATTGATCTCTTGGGTCGTTTGGGATTGTTGAAGGAAGCACAAGGCTTGATTGAAGGGCTGCCACCAATCAAAAGAGATGCCACTGCTTGGCGTGCAATACTTGCAGCCTGCAGAGTGTATGGAGATGTTGAATTAGGGGAATGTGTGAACAGAGTATTGGTTGAAATGGATGATCAACATCCGACTGATTCAATGCTTTTATCAGGCACTTATGCCATAGCTGGAAGGTTGAAAGATCTAGGGAGCTTGCAGGTAACAACAGAAGAGCAGTTAGATGCCAAATTTAGGTGGAAGTCAATAGGAAAGGAAGAAAGTAGGGTTAAAGAAGCTGGATGTAGCATGATTGAGGTGGACCATGGATGGGAGGAAAACATAGCTGGGCTTGAACTTCATGCAACCATGTTCCCTTGGCAGAAAAAGCAGTGAGTTATAGGTTTGCATGGATGTAGATTGCAGAAGACCTTCGCTACAGTTACTTTAGAGCTTTGATAGTTTGTCGGGCCTCTCATATCAAGCTAAGTATTAAGTGGTGTCGATCAACTGAAGATAAGAGACCTTTTATGATTTGATTAATGGGAAGCATTGGCACCTATGAAGGTCAGTGGAATTCTTCACACTGGTTCACGTTTTCAATTAGTGATGCTTCACTGTATTTGTGAATCCTTTGACCCTATTTTGCAAGTTACTGCAACTGCTGTGTTTGCTTATATAAGCTGTTCATATAGTTTCTGCTGGTACGTTAATAAATCTGCTACCATAGCCAATTTGTAAAGAGAAATTGTGAAGAAATCTAAAGAAACGTGTTCTTCAAGTCAAACGGGTTTAGAGAAGGTGAAGTTATTTACATGTTTCGACTTAGAAAGCTTAATGCTACTAATCCATTTTGAAAAGGTTGTGAGGATAATGAAATTGTAAACAGTCTATAGCCCCTGGTTAACGTTTTGTATGCTTATAGTGTGTCCTACTCCCTATTACAAGTTGAAATTGTCATTTCGCACTGAGTTTAGCAGTTTGAGATAGTCAAATGACAGTTTGCTGGAGATTGTTTGTACGTGAGGTATATGTTTCTCACATTTACATTGGCTTTTGTTTTCTTTAACATCAGCTCTGCTTGCGGTTTCAGAAGAAACAGTACCAAGCCTGGCAAATGTATATGCTCAAGTACAGGTATCGTATCGGTACTTCTTGGTTTCTCGTGAAACAATTGTGAAATCTATTTAGCTCAGCGCTTATTCCAGTCTTCAAATAGAATTGTGGAAGCATGTACTTGAAGCCTTTGAAACTCCAAACTGGATACACCTTGTCTGTGTCGGGTATCCATAGGGCCTGCTTTCACCAGAACACTTTACGGGAAGGCAAATCTTGCCCTTACTTTCTTTGTTGTTCAGAGTACAGTTGTAAAGTTTATTTCTCTATCTCTTTGTTGCATTTTGTAATTTCTTCAGTTTTTTGGTCTTTTCTTTTTCAGACAGCAAACTTGCGCTACAAGCCAGTTCTCACATTATCTCCATCCACACCTTCAAGCGCAGAACAATTTTGAAAATTAGCTCAGGTCTATCTAAGTGAAAGATTCTGCTAAAAGGTCACTTGCATTTTCGATTACAGACCTTTTGGGTTACTGCATTTGCAAACAGTGGTGCAAGCTTTTGCGAAGTCGGCTTCTAGAGCAGCTTATGGGTGATGACTTATGAGCAGAATTTCTTAGGAAGTATAGAGAATGTAATGTTGTCTAAAACATAGTAACTTGTAGTTTACTGAGATTCCAGGTGCTCTTAATATGAGATTCGTGTAAAGCAGAGATCAGGGGGGGGCTTTTTGGCCCTTGAAGTGAGGACAACAGAATGCTAACTTCATTTCTTGGTGCTGTGTTCTATAACAGGAGGGGACTTGATTGGATACCGGCAATGAATGTACATTTCATGAGTTGCAACTATATGTCAACAATGGCGTGGTGAGCTATTTCAAGGGGTGGATTAAACCAGAGACAATGAGTAACAACTGGAGTCAACAATGGAGATTGGAGCTGTCAGGTACAGCATCGAATTGAATAGCTATACAATTCGATGTGATCTGATCTGATTTTGATTCTGTTTATTTAGACCTTTGTATGTATGTAAGATATTCAATGGAATCATCCAACTAGAACCACACTTTAGCTTAGTTCTTTCGATTTCCATTAGTTCGATCTGATGTAAATCGAACCGTAACTCATGAGTTTATAAAGCACATCAATGTAAAGCTATTGAACCCCGTTTTTCAAGAGTTTGATCTGAACCGAACCGGGTCGTTACCCACCCCACCCAAAAGATGAACTCATTCACATCTCTCATCGTCATCATTGAAAGAAACCGGTGTGTGGTTGGACCATCTTAGCCCACCACTTGGGCCTTGACAACTCAACCCAATAGAAGGTAATAGTGATGACTGATGAGCCTATCTGAGTAAACCAATAACTGTACCAACCAACAATATTTCCCATAGATGCCCCAGCCTAGGTCACTCTCAATATTAGTTAATAAATATGACTAATTTTTAAGGTTTTCCTTGGAAACAAAAAAAAAAAACTGTTTCTAGGCGACAAATCCATGGCCCTTGATAACATTGTATAATGGCCAAGGTTGTCTTCTATCTATCCTTAAACAACAGAAGAATTAAATTTATAAAACATCCACCTCAAAAGCCTATTCTTGTCTACCATTGATCAGCATCAAGATTTAGATTTCAAAGCAGCTGACTTTGGATGCCAAGTTTCCTAATTTCGATCCCTAACTGAATCGATCTATGTTTCACCCTTTTACGTCATTCTAGTGCATGAAAAAAAAATTATCGTCTTATTGTTAGAGTTTAGTCACCTACAGTGGGAATATCACAATTGGATAAGAAAGAAAAGTGCAAGTGATTTATAAGATTACATCCCACCTTATTTTATGGATTATGTAGTTGTTGCATTCTGGAATTGACTTTTTGACAATCTAATTAATTACTTTGTATTTCCATAATTAATTTTATGATTAGTTATTTTTTAATAATTAATTAAGTTTTAGTTTTGTGAAAGGAAGTTACCTTTCAAAAGGGAAATGTTTTTTCACAATAAAAGACTCATTTTTGCTTTCAATTTTTATTCTAACGGTTTTTCATCTTCCAAATTTTCCTTCACTATATTACAAACACAGAAGTCTGAAAGATTGTACTTTGATTGGAGCTCTCGAGGATGATATGTTTGTTTCCCACCAACAATTAGTAGTGAGAGATAATAACACTTTTATAGAATGATTAGGAAAAGAAGAAGAAAAAAAAAACAACACAAAAGCAACCAAAAGGTGTATGCAGCTTTGCATGCATGTCCAGCTGACACTACTCCATTCAACTTGAGTCAAGGTAAGAAAAGTAAGATTTGGTCAAAATCATTTATAAAGCATATCAATGTAAAACATGGATTAGGAACTGAAAGACTCTTTCTACCATACAAAGTGATTTGTTTTTCCATAACCCATTATAAATTATAATGCTATCAAAACCCACTATAAAAGTGTGCTTCAATCGATGAAAATGGTAATTTGGAGACATATTGCTTCGCTTGTTTAGGCGCAAAAGGAACTCCTAATCTGTCCTAAGAATTGAAATAGAGCAGGATGTTCTCGGATATAGAGAGTCTTACGAGAGCTAATAAAATATAGACTGTATAAAAAATTCTAACACATGAGCGCTCAATAAAAACAGAATGAGTTGAGTTTGACAAATAACTAATGATTTCATTAAGCCTCCCGTTGATCAAGTTGCACATTCAATATATAGTGGAAAGTGTTAGAAATCTGATGGGCAATGAAACAAATATGATTTCATTCAATTATTTTAATTAACCAAATAACAATTCGTCAGTTAGTTTAGAGATCACACGCCTTCAAAGAATTCTTATCTTTTTCAAATAATTTTTGTTTGTCCTCGTCACTTACATACCCTTGTCATTCGAAAACACATGTCACAAATCAGAGTGAGAGGGGCAGATCGACATTAGGAACTAGTTACACAAACTTTCTTATCATTATCAACCATCTTGTGGACTAGACCACTATATGCTACTATTCATGTTATGATTATCTTCAAACAAATGAAGGGCTCTCATAAAAATATATATATATCCTTAGAAAGGTGATCAATAAGTATAACCATCATCATTTCACACTACAAAAAAAAAAAAACATTCAGTTATGACCAGACGTTTGGCATTGGAAAATACTTTTTTTCGTTGGAAATGACTAGTTATGACGATATACAGTCGTTGGTCGTCATGGGAAAAAGTCCCATCGCAAAAAGTGGAAATTCGTTAGCGCGTCAGCAATCGAGACAGTTGGATTGAACCTCCAGATGTTAGAAATAACAAGAGGAAAGTGGGGAAAGGTGGTGGGAGAGGTAAGAGTCGTAAATGAAGATTCTCTCATGGAACACCAGAGGTTTTGTTGCGGATAAAAAATATATAGTTATACTAAATAAAATAAATAAGTTTAGTTTAGATATTGTTGCTATTCTGGAGTCTCGGGTAAGTAGATTAGAAGCAAAGAAACTAAAGCAGAAAAGGTTCGATGGTTGGGGGCAGTAAATTTTGTTCAATGAAGAAGGGTTGGGGAAAATCTGGCTTGTATGGCGCTATGGGATACAACTGTCTATCACAGGGAGCTCTGATTAGTTTGCTCAAGTCTTGATTGGAGGTAGGAATCCTTTCTTTGCTACCTTTGTGTATGCCTCTAACAGTGACTGCTAGAGGGAAATACTCTATGCAGAAGTGGCTCAGTTAAAGGTGGAAAATATGCCTTGGATTCTGTTAGGTGACTTTAATGCTATAAGGGATCCGAGTGAGGGTTCAAATACTCCTCAGTACTCTGCAAGTATGAGGTCATTCGATGACTAGTTGAGGGCTATAGAAGTGGAGGAGCACAAGTCTACTAGGCCTTGGTTTACTTGGCTCAACAAGAGGCAAGGCAACCCTATTGCTCGTAGGCTTGACAGGGCTTTTATTAATCTGGTATGGTTGGATTAGTTGAAAAATAGTATTGTTCAAATACAAGTTCCTGGGGTTTCATATCACTGTTCGGTTTTTGTTCAAACTGATGTTCCACTCAAGTCACTTCCTAAGCCATTTAAATTCTTTAATTTCTGGCTAGGGCATCCATCTTGGAGGGTTTGCTTTCACAGGCATGGAATGAGAGTGTGTGGGGTTCTCCTTTGATCAGGGTCTATAAGAAGCTTAGTATTCTGAAAGCATTACTCAAAAAACTTAATAGGGAAGAGTATTCTGATATTAGGGACAGAGTGAGGGATAAGGAAAAGGAACTGGAACATGTTCAACTAGATGCTCTCTCTAGTCCAACTCCATTGAGTTTTGAGCTTGAAGTCAAGGTTGCAAAAGAGTTATTTGATTTGATCCAAGCTGAGGAATTTTTCTTCAGGCAGAAATCCAGAGAGATGTGGCTAAAGGTGGGGATACAAATTCAGGCTATTTTCATATATCAATGAGAACAAGGACTAAAAGGAACACAATCACTTCTCTTAAAGATGCACAGGGTAACACAGTGACTTCTATAGAAGAAATGAGTAAGGTGGCTATTGATTTTTGTAAGTATCCGTTGGGGAGGGTTAATCCTCATGTTGAAATGAAGGAAGTGGATTTCTATAGGGGCTTGTTAAGGCATAAATTGACTGCTATACAGGTGTCATCTCTGTATGATCCTATCACTCCTGATGAGGTTAAAGATGTGATGTTCATCTTCAATGGAGACAAGAGCCCTGGACCAGATGGGTATAATGCTAGGTTTTTCCAAGCTTCTTGGGAGTCATTGGGGATGAAATTACTTGTGCTATCCAGAGTTGCTTTGTGACTGGGAAGATGCCTAGAGAGGTAAATGCTACTATCCTTGCTATGATCCCTAAGATTCAGAACCCGAATGAGATGAATTTTTTTAGGCCTATCTCATGTTGCAACATAATCTATAAATGCATATAAAAAATAATTGCCAACAGATTCAGTGCTCTTCTTCCCGTAGTTATTAGCAAGAATCAGACAACTTTTGTTAAAGGGAGGGTTATAGGTGAAAATATTCTTCTTGCTCACGATCTAGTGCAACAATACTCTAGGAAGAATATTTCCACTAGGTCAGCTCTTAAAATTGACCTCATGAAGGCGTTTGATTCTGTGAATTAGCACTTTTTGCTTGTTGTTTTGGATGCCATGGGAGTTCCTAGTCAGTTTATTGATTGGATTAAGATGTGTGTTACTAGCCCTATGCTAAGTATTGCTTTTAATGGGGATCTAGCTGGCTATTTTCCTGCTAAGCAAGGCTTGAGGCAGGTTGACCCGCTTTCTCCATATATGTTTACTGTGGCTATGGAGGTTTTTTCTTGTCTTTTGGATCTTGAAGCAAAAAAGGGGAGGTTTCCTTACCATCCTATGTGCAAAATAATTGAGCTGACACACTTATGTTTTGCTAATGATCTTTTAGTCTTTTCTGATGGATCAAACTATAGTATACAGAGTGTGCAGAGAGTACTGAGTGTATTTCATTAGCTTTCTGGTCTTCAGTCCAACCCAAGTAAATGTGAAATATTCTTTGGTGGATTAGAGAAGGATGAAATGGTGGCTAGGGCTAGCAGATATGGCTATCAGGTGGGGGGATTTCCAGTGAGATATTTGGGAGTACCTTTAGTGGCTGGGAAACTCTCAGTTAATGCTTGTAGACCACTCATTGATAGAATTACAAGTAAAAAGACTATTGGGGCTAAATCGCCTTGTGCAATGGTGGGTCGACTGATTTGGCAGTCACTTGTGAGCCATATATGGAGGCAACGTTGTCGACGAGATTTTGGCGAGAACAGCAAGACTATTGAGGCTCTAGGTTCTCAAGTAAAAAGTGAGGTAAAGGTGATGATGCAGGACCCCCTACCACTGGTGCGCTACTGGTCTGCTGATCCTTAGGTTTTGTGTCTCTTACCCGAGATTTTGGCTGTTTGGTTTTGTTTAGTTGCTTTCTGCCTCTGGTTTCCTTCTTGAGAGTTTCTTTGTATTTACTCAGGTAGTTTGAATAGCTCCCCCATACTGTACCCAATTTTCATGCCTAGTTGGTAAGGATGTTGCCAACAACGCTTTTTTGATGAAATACCAATATACAGATTCATACATAAAAATCGAGACAGTTGTCACAAAAAAAATTAGACAATTCATTTTGATTTCTACAAATAGACCGAA